GGCATGTCTGATGGCTAAATCCTCTACATTTAGGTACTGGGTATCTCACCGTTCCGTATATGCTAATGACAACATCTAAATGCTAACAGCCATTATATACATACATTTTTATTTTTACATGAATACACAAACATTATCTCTCATTACGAAACCAATGCTAAGAAAGCAGGTTTATTAACTAGATTCTATGCATTTATACGTTGCACTTACATACACTTAGGCTTTAGAACAAAAATAGCATACCTAATTATCTAGATAGGTACTAAAAATAGCTAAATGTTTTAGGATATCATTTTTCAGTTTGTAAAAAATCACTTGGAGCTATGAAAAACCGTAATATTCGTGGTTCAATTATAACCTCAAAATCTGATACTTTTTTTGAAATATATCTTTTATGCAGCTAGTCCGCTATAAAAATAAGATCATATAGGAATTTACTATTGATCGACAATAAAACACACAATTTTCCGATGCTCTTGATTCCAGGGCGAACAATGTATGGGAGCAGAGCAATGTCCTTTATATGGGACCACATGAGAAGCACCAGCTTACAAATAAAAAAAAAACCATCAAAATCGGTTCACCTAGAGAAAGTTCTGAGGTAACACACAAAACAATACAGTCGAATTGAGAACCTCCTCCTTTTTTTGGGAGTCGGTTGAAAACACAAAGTGGTATACTATAACTAATAGGTATATTAAGAAAAAATAGCAAACAAGCTTTGGAAATAATTAGAAGTACTTGGAATAATCAATCTTATTACAGAGCCATCTATGCAAACAGGGCTTTAGTTTTTGAGTTATAAGAAACTTACCATATTAACCGGATGACCATATTACACTCACGTACAATATACTACAGCCTACTACGGTATAATCTAACTAAAGGAAAGGTGAAAGAATTTCAATAGCATCTTTACCCTTACCTTCTGCCTCATTATCGCTTTAATTTAGTTTCTTTTGAAATCTTAAGAGCGTGTTCAACTTAAAAATGCTCACCAGAAAAAAAGAGATAGGTCGTGAAATACAACACAAACTAAATGTGAAACCTGAATAAACATGGCCAGGCTGGCCCTCATGCGAACTAGCTCGTGCAGTTCGTGACTCTACATTTGTTTTATGGATTATAACAAAAGAGTACGACACTGAGCTATATAGAAAAGCCACAAACGTACGTTATACATTGTGACATTCAAATAATTTAACTATATCTTATTTTAAGTGCAATATTTAGATATTTTTTATAGAATAAGGTCACACATTCAACCTGATGGTAAGTGGATACCGTGGCCCATAGATATCTACATCTATCCTCAGTAAATTATCAAAAATCAGATGCGTTTCCAACCCTAAGATGGAATACCTCGTTTCTAATAAAAAGGGTCTCCGGTTTTGTACAATCACCATTACACAGCAGCATTAAATAGCTATTTTACGCTGGTATTCTGTGAGAGCGTAGTCCAAGCCGACCCATTCGTGCTACAACTATAATATTATGTTAATTTATAACTGAAAGTCATTTTTACACATTTCAAAAAGGAAGGAATCTCGTAGATTCTAAACGATACTGTATTTATCACAGACTATCTCACTAGACTGAATAGTTCAATACGCGAAACTTCAAATTCAAAAATAATAAATAGGATTCATCGCTAGGGACATCACTAGCAATATAAATGGCAACCGATCAGCTGTCGAAAGCCACGCGCACTCAACGTGAGGGGGAACTTACACCCCACAGACTGTGGCACTGTCGATTGAATAAGCTACGAAGATAGGTGTGTATAAAAATGTAGAAATAACTAAAAGGGATAAACTCCATGTCGCTATCTAAAGTTAAGAATTTTTTTAATGCGCAATATTTAAAAAAAATGTCGAGGTAAATGTTCCACCCGAAAAAGCAATTAGTAAATTTGTTGACACTAATTTTATTACAGATCATCTTCACATTTCTTATATTCGTGTATTGTATTTTAACGATGAGTGGACACTTATTTATTTATGGTTACAAAAATGGCGGATTTAATGCCTTACGGGATTCGCTACAAGTCAAAATGTGACATGGAAAAGTAAATGTTTTTACATAAACATTTACTTCATACATGTATGAATTATTAACAAGTGTTAAAATTAAAATTTTTGTACAACCAATTTCAATATAAATTATTAAGGATAACTCAAAAACTACTGATCAGACCTTGATCAAATTTATATGTGACGACATGAGAACCACCAGCTGTCAAATAAAAAAAGAATCATGGAAAGCGGTTCACCCAGAAAAAAAAAATGAGGTAACACGCATTAAAAACATACAGTCGAATTGAGTACCTCCTTTTTGAAGTCGGTAGAAAAGTCAAGAGAATATTGGCAAATCACGGAAATACGCAAGTACTACTATGGTATTTCACCGTCATCTTTTCAAGTAGAAGGCATGTAAGAAAATATAAAAAAAAACCTTATTTTAGGTAATGACAAATATGTGACAAAGTAATATAATTCTGCAGGATGGCTCTACGTGGTAGAGCTGCACTGCAGCTATATTAGTAGTATAGTTGTAGCACCAATGGCTCGGCTCGACCGGGGAAGGACCACGCTCTCACAGAATACCAGTGCTGAAAAGCAGCTTAATGCTGCTGTGTTTCGTATGATGAGTGTAGAGAACCGGAAACCCTTTTTACTGGAAACGATGCATTCCATCTTAGTCCTCACGGTAGACAACCCATCTCCATTTTAATTCGTAAACGAGGATAGATATAGATGTCTATGGCTCACAGTAACCACTTACCATTGGGTGTACTGTGTGCTCGTTTAGCACCTATATCTAATTAAAAAAAGTTCTGATTTTGTTTTGATGACATAAAAATAAAATTATTTTCTTTTTGATTTTAAAAACAACAAACAATCTTTCGTAATTATTTCGACTGCATCAAAACCAACAGAGATTTATCATAAACAAAAACAAGACTCTACATAAGAATAAAAGCCAGCGGCGTTTGAAGTATCATTGTCCCTTTTACCGCATTGGTACATTAGATAATGATCTCATCACAGAGTAAACCACACATTTGCTGACACAATAAATTATGTAGCGACTGAAAGAACAGCCGAAAATGATTACCAAGAATCGCTCCGACATTTCATATCGGGAGAAATGTCCCACGGGATAGAGGCGGCTGCCAGAACATCGCCGAAGCAAATAAATTCCGACATTTGACGACTTTAATTTCTGAGAATACAAAGGTAAACGACACGCGGCCTGAATAAAATTAGACTGGAAACACGCTAAACAGAAAATCTATTTAAATTTATCAGTTTAAGTGTAAAGAAACGTATTTTTATTTTATGAATAAATGTCTGTTAATAAACAACATGGCCTTAATAGCTTTCACTTTTCAATAGAAGTAAGAGTGCAAGCGAGCACACAGTCCACCTGATGGTAAGTGGTTGCTGTGACCCATAGACGTCTTCATTTATCTTCGATTAAGAATCATAATGCAAATGCTCTGGTTCTCTACACTCACCATAGGAAACACAGCATTAAGCTGCTATTTTGCGGTGCTATTCTGTTAAAGAGTGGTCCTACCTCGATCGAGCCGACCAATTCGTGTTACAACTACATTATATCTGCAGCGTGGCTCTACCACGTAGAATTTATATATATAGTTGTATGGTGTGACCCATAAACACCTACATATTATATAATAAATTATGAATAAAAATATTATTATTATTTTCTTTAAACGTTTCCCCTACACTATGATTTTCTCCTGTATCGTGGCGGCATTGCAGAAAGACAAACATTCAGACACGTAACAATTTGTTGTAGGTAGGTCAGACAAATACTTGTTCCGTGCGGGATTTTAACCCCCGTCCCTCAGCGCTGCAACCCAAAGCTAAGCGACTACTCCACGGAACCGTCAATCAGAAAACATATCGTCGTCATGTTTGAGGACTGAGAAGGACTGTCTCTTTACCATTAAAAAGGTTCTCCGGTTCTCTACACTCACCATACGAAAAACAGCAGCATTACCATCTTTAACAGCAGCATTAAGCTGCTTTTTTACGCTCGTATTCTGTGCGAATTTGGTTCTTTCCCGGTCGAGTAGACCTAATTTGCATTAAGCCATGCTGTGTTGTAGTATGGCGGCTCTATCAATGCTAAATATATTTACTATAAACAATGGCGTAGCATTGAATTGTCTGTGCGAGCGTGCTCCTTCCCCGGTCGAGCAGACCCATTAGTGCTGCAGACATAGTACGTAGCAGCGTGGCTCTACCACGTATGTCTATGTCCGTACCTATGTATTTATCAGACATCTAGTAGCAGTTATCATATACAGGAAATTTTGCATTAAACGTAATTATATCTATATTTGGTATAAAATATCACCAGGTCTGTTATCAACTTTTTTCTTAACCCCTCGCCAAAATAAATGTAAAGAATTAACAAAACTAAAAAAATACAAGTAGTATAGAGAATGAAATTTAAATTTACAAGATTGTAACATTAAATCAAAAGCGGCAGTCGGCTACGGTGATAAATCCATAGCCAACGAGCAACAATGCACTCAAAACAAACAAGACGCTTGTTTCTACGTTTCTACAATCCAAATGGATTAATTCATTTGCGTCGGCTAATACTTGTTTTAAATTCGGAGCAACGATTGTTTAAAACCAGTCCCGAGGTGTTTCGCAACGCTAATTTATTTTATCGCGCAATAATCTAACCACCAAATATGTGCGATGACTTGACTCGGGCCAATAAAGAAAAGTAAATTATAATGAAAGTCACAGGACTTATCTGAGTGCGCGCGATAACGCTGTAATCGCCGTAGAATTGGTGAGAAACGCTCGACAAGGTCGGGATGTTAATGACGTAACCACGGCAACAATAGCTGTGAGAACACTAAATAATAACAAGTTTATTGCGATGACGCGATACTGCACAGTAACAAGCCTCGGTCTTCAAACATCATTACTAAAACTTTAAAAACTGCGAACCTTTCTTGGATTGTTTTTCGCGTTCCTTTTCCTTCTCCCGAGCCTTCTTCTCCTTTTTCTCCCTCTCCTGTTTCTCTTTCTCAAGCCTTTTCATCTCCTTCTTCAATTCCTTCTCACTCTTCTTCGCCTTTGTGTCGTCGATCTTTTCGGACAGTATGAAAGTTCCAGTCTGGAGCTTCGTGTCCGTTTCGTCCTTGGGTCTCATCTCGAAATCGGCACTAAACACTTAACGCAACAGGATCCCTCCTTAATGCACTCTGGGTGTATCGCGGGGACGCGAGAAATGGATTCGCCACGGATCGGCTGCAAGCCGTGGGTTTATCGATCACTTGTACAAGCCGCTATCGGAGCGATTTCGAAGTACCGGTAGAATCACTTACACTTGCGATGCGCGTGCGTGTATCCGCGGCGGACGCTCGGGCAACACTGACAGAGCGGCGCGCGCGCCACGCGGCGGCCCCGCACTATAAATAAGCTTCACTTCCTATACTGTATGGAATCGGAGGACGATTTATGGCCGTTGAACTCATGAGAGCTTTTCGCGGTTGGTGACTAACACAGCTCTGACCACTTCGGAGGTGTAAGCGACGCTTTCGGTGCCAAGGTCGTGGCGATCACAGTTTTATTGGCGAATGTGACATCAAGGTCAGTGTCGCAATGATGCGGAAACAGAAATAATTCATTTATCTCAAATGTAATCTGTGGCAACAGGCAAAATTGTTTTTTTATGACTTTAAAATTCAAAATAATTATTTCCATGATGAAATAATATACACGGTAAAAAAATTAAACGGTCACAAAAATAAATCAACGATATCAACGCTAACCACATAAACGAGTAACGAACAGACGGTATCAAATATACAACGTGAAACTTGTCCTCAAACCGCAATTAAAAAAACCAGACAGTCCAGAGATTACGAGAAGTTAATTCAGATAAAAATTTCGGAGACAGCTCGACGAGATTTCAAAACGAGGTGTCGGTAAGACAGGTTTTTTTTTACAAGATTTAAAAATGAAACAAAGACAAAAGTGCACAAAAACCTTGCTTTCCCAGGACCGGTGAAGCAGCGCTCGCTGGATAAGTGCGGGCACCGACACACGCGCGTCCGCGGATAACACACTCTTATAGAAATAGAGTGACTGGCGAGCACACAGCCGATCTTAAGTGGATGCTGTGGCCCATAGAAATCTACATCTTCCTCGATTACGAATCAAAGTGCGTTGTAACCCCTGAGGATTAAAGTGAATTTTTTTATAGGATCGGGTGACAAACGAGCACACAGTCCACCTGATGGTAAGTGGTTACTGTGACCCATAGACATCTACATCTATCCTCAATAAAGACTCAAGATGCAGATGCGTTGTCACCCGTGAGGACTAAGATGGAATGCCTCTTTACCAATAAAAAGGGTCACCGGTTCTCTACACTCACCATACGAAACACAGCAGCGTTAAGCTGCTATTTTACGCTGGTTTTCTGTGAGAGCGTGGTCCTTCCCCGGTCGAGCCGACCCATTCGTACTACAACTATACCAGAAATATAACTGCAGCATGGCTCTAAAAATGCGTTATCAACGCATCTGCATTTTAATTCGCAAACGAAGATAGATAAAGATGTCTATGGGCCACAGCAACCACTTACCATCAGGTGTGTGCTCGTTTGTCACCCTAATTCTATAAAAAACCTAATCATTAACGAGAAAGAGAAATGAAATATTTAGGCCGAATAGCAGCTACGTGCAAAATTTAATTGCTCTATCCACTTTTTTTTATATAATAAGGGTGACAAACGAGCACACAGTCCACCTGATGGTAAGTGGTTGCTGTGGCCCATAGACATCTATATTTATCCTCGATTACGAATCAAAATGCAGATGCGTTGTCACCCGTGAGGACTAAGATGGAATGCCTCGTTTCCAGTAAAAAGGGTCTCCGGTTCTCTACACTCACCATACGAAACACAGCAATAAAGCTGCTATTTTACGCTGGTATTCTGTGAGAGCGTGGTCCTTCCCCGATCGAGCCGACCCATTCGTGTTACAACTATACCAAAAATATAGCTGCAGCATGGCTCTACCACGTAAAAGCCACTTATTATAATAAATAAAACTCAATAGCTCTCTTATATTTCCACCCAAACTAAAATAATACTTATGAATTTCAAAACACTAGGTTATCACAGAGAATAGAAGGTAAAAAATTAAGTTAATGTTATATTAAAAAGGTGAAAATAAAAATAGCGGCATTTAAGTAATCGTGCAATGTCACGAGAACCAAACGTGTGTGCCAAATTTTAGCTCGATAGCATCAGTAGAAGTGGGTGAATATTAATTGCATAATTCCAGGACATCCGAGTACATGCAAATGAAGTTTAAACGCTTTTAAAAACAACGTACTGCAACGAAAGCGCGGCTGTCGTCCATTGCACATATAATTATCAAATGCGGAAGTCATACTCCTCGGTGGGTCGTCATTAACCACGCTCAGGGCCTATTTAGGCTCGAAAGGAACTTCCTGTCCTAAGCGTGGACCAAAGCAGGTGAAGGTAGACATATCGACTGGATAAATTGCTTGCACTAACAAACTTTCTCCCGGCGGCAAGGCAACAAGGAACGCGTTCTTAATAAGCAACGGATGCGGTTGTGATCTTTTTAATATTATTCGTTTTAATTAAGATAAATTATGATTACATATTTGCATAAATGGTGCATAAAAAATAATAGCAGTTATATTATGCTAATATACTTAACTATCACAGTAATGATATTAAATCATTATCATTACAACCTTTTCCAAGTCCACTGCTGAATATAGGCCTCCCCCAAGGAATGCCATAAGACACGTTCCCGAGCCACCTGCATGCATCGACTTGCTGCATCTCTTACCAGGTTGTCACGTCATCCTATCCCATCTAGCAGTGACACCCACTAGATGGAGTCACTCCATGTAGTGATTTATATTAAAGCTTACATATAATAGTTACATTTTTTTTTTGTAAAATTAAAGTGACAAACGAAATTACAGACCACCTGACGGTAAGTGGCCACTGCAGTCCACCGCAGAACACAGAGCAGAAAAGAAGTTGATTCGATATAAAAACACAGTCTTTTATTTTACCATATCAACAATTTGGTCGTATCGGACTTTAGAGAACGCTTTGTACCGCCAGACCGCGGCATGTTACAAAAGCTCGCAGCAAAATAGACGGTCGTAAGGAGCGAGAGTGGTGCGGCCTTTTACTTACGTAAGCACTTTCACACGCCGACCAAAGTTTGCTCCAAGCTATGACGAACGAAATTGCATTGCTCACCGTAAAGGGCCTCTTACAAAATGGCAATTATGTAATTATTTATAGGTGTGTATGACAGCGTATTCTCAGGCATTGAAGTAAAATTCGATTCATGCAAAATTTATTCCCAATGTTTAACATCCGACGCAAACAGAGGGGTGTTTATTATGTTTATCGTGTGTATCTGTGTGTCTGTCTGTGACAACGTAGCTTCTAAATGGATATTCCGATTTAGATTGTTTTTTTTTTGTTTGAAAGGTGACTTGATCGAGTGTTCTTAGGTATGATTGAAGAAAATCATTTCAGCCGTTCGAAGATCATCAGCTCTTTTTAATTTTTAATATAATATTATTAAAGTAAGTGTTAATGTACAAATCAGGTAGTTGTGACTCACGTCAATTGAAATACTTTTTAAGAGTTTTCAAAACCAGTGGTAGAGCCATGCGGCAGCTTTTGCTGTCGCACGGATGGGCCGGCTCGAACCGGGGTGGTACCACGACCTCACAGAAAACCAGCGTGAAGTAGAGGTTTACCTCTGCGTTTCGCTTGGTGAGTGCAGGTGGCCGGAGGCCCTTTTTACTGGAAATGAGGCATTCCATCTTAGTCCTCACGGGTGACAACGCATCTACATTTTGATTTGTAATAGAGGATAGATATAGATGTCTATGGGCCGCAGCAACCACTTACCATCAGGTGGACTGTGTGCTCGTTTGTCACCCTTATCCTATAAAAAAAAAACTTTTTTCGGAAATTATATGGGAACAAGACGAGATAAAAAAAAAACTAAATACATTTTGCAGATTTTATCTCGTCTAATTTTTACTTTTTTAATTGTCAACGTTTCTGGCGCTTTAGATGCCAAGAAGGTGATAGGTAGCATTAGGACACCTTCTTTATTGAAACTAGGATGGATTTTTTTAATTTCAATAGCCTTGCGAATCATCATTGGTGGGAATCGGTGTTCGGAGTCATCCACGTTTAGTTATGCAATATAAAAAATAATATTTACTCATTTTACATGAAGCTTCTCTTCTTTCTTTCTTTCTTTCTATTTCGTCTTCCTGTTTTGTTTTTGAACTGTCGTAAAGGATTAGATATGAAAGTTTCACCAGTTTGAAAGGACAGGACCAGTTTGAAACACTTCAATTTATCAAAACGTTAAATTTATTCAGTCAGTTATTAGCTTGAAGCAGACTGAAAAGTTCCCAGGTTCTCATATTATTCCTTTTCACAGTTTTCCATATCTCATATATACACATCTACACGGTATATATATTGCAATAAAATGTCTAATTATTACAATCAACCCAAGTTGAATCAAAAATATACTCCGAGTATAAAATTCACTCCCTCTAGTTCAACTCAATTTTTACCGCCAACACATTTTATTTTTTCTTTTATTTAAATTTGGAATCTATCTGGAATAACGAAGAATTTGAAACGTTTTAAGGTGGCCAGTACTGTTTTAGTTGATCAATGTTATTAAAATATCCCTATAGGTGTTGATGTGACTATTTTACCATGTGGAAGTGTCGCATACCTGTCAATTTAGTTGATCTATCGGAATCGAATAAAACTATTTTTACATATTTTATTCCATGACCATGGGTGCTGCAAAGCACTCGAAACGTCATTCAATGTGTAATAAAATGGTGGTACAGTACAAAACAGTGGTAAATAAAATAATGACTTTCAATAAGTATTATGTAATAATCCATATTGAATAAAAATCATTCTATTCTATTCTATTCTAATGTTCGCGTAATCTAAATCGCGTTAATCGACTTTAAAAAAGGAGAAGGTACTCAATTCGACTATATTTTTTTTTGTTCGTTACCTCGGAACTTTTTTCTACTTGAACCGATTTTGATGGTTCTTGTTCTATTTGAAACCTGGTACTTCTCATGTGGTCCAATATATAATATAATTTGATCAAGATCTGAACCAGCAGTTTTTGAGTTATCCTTAATAATGCGTATTTAATTGACCTCGACTACATTAATGAGAACATTCTGAATTTATTTATATTGAAGTCGGTTGTACATTTTTTTTATTTTTAAACTTGTAAACGACTCTCTACGACAATAGGCTACCTATGGGATAGGCATAGAGCCTAGCCTATGGCATGTGTATCTA